AGAAGCTTTATTTAATGTGGCAGTTCATGAGCAGAATTACTTAAAGGAGAGAGAATCATAAAAAAGCATATGTCTCTTTTTTTTTTAGTCTGACATTTAAAGGCAAATTAGTAAGTGGGAGTTTAATATAGATATTTCCTTGTGAACACTGATCTTGAATTTCCAAGCAGGCAAACTGACTTTCTCCTTAATAAAGCTCTTGAAACATAGATAACTTGTAGCAATTACTTCAAAACCAGGGATGAATCTTCACATGTGAGGGAATATGTTAAGGAACATTTCTTTTTATAGGCTTTTCCTCTTCTGTACATCCTGAAGATAATAATATGAGTGATATAGTGTCATGATGCTTTTTAACATAGGAATCTGCATAATTTGAACATGGAATGATTAATCATTAGAATATGAAAATGTTAAATATGAATGTGTAGCAATGTTCAGGCTGTAAGTTTCCAAGACACTTCATTTGGGACCACATTTTGTTTTCTCACTCTGCCTGCAAGAACATCAGCAATTATTGTAAATTTAATGAGCTGTCACTATGCTGATTTAAGCACACAACTGTATGTACTGTACTACTGAACACACTGGACTGAGTCATTTTACATACATGCAGTTGCTGGTCTAAATGAGGGCTAGATTTGACTTGTTCTGTTTAACTCACTGGCTGAACTGAAAATAGTTGGCACAGATTTTTCTCAGGAAATTCAAACTTACACAAGCAGAGGAAAAACATTGCAAATGAGATGCTGCTGTGTGCAAAAATTCATCTTGGGTAAAACTTTAAACCCTAGAAATAAATCTTGTTTTCAGTTCTCACAAATAGTCTTTTCTATTCAACTCTGAAGGTTTAAAGCAGTTGTTAATCAAATACTGTACACAGTACTAAGCAGCAAAGTGTTCAGTTATTTCTGAAACACGTTATTTTGAGGCTATGTTTGAATCTTCCATATTTATGTGATGAGAGTTATGTCACAAAGTTAATCATTCCCAGGATGCTAGCATTCGGGGTAATGAAAAACTTCTTGTGCAAGCAGTCATTAATCAGTGAGTCTAACATTGCATAATGCTTTCTGAAGCATGTGTTATGTGATCAGAGTACAAGGCTGCATAATACAGCAAAGTGTTTATGCCATATGCTGACCTTTTCTAAAGTAGAAATGGAGCCATGTGATGTGCTGCTCCTGCCAGCATTTGCTTATTGCCAATAATTAAGTTTGATGATATGAAGAAACACAAACTTGTATTGCTTTAGAGTTCTAAAAGGAAGAAGCTTTGAAGTTTTTGGCACTGTAAAGCACAAAGATAGCCAACTTGGCTTGGATACACTACCGTTGTCCATTATAGGCACCGCCCATCAAAACTGGAATCAAGTGCCCTGCTCAAGTGGTTACTGGCATTTGTGTAAAGGAAAACATGTGCATTGTTACAGGACTGCTGTACTAACCAGAAGAGCATAAAGGTCACAGGAGCAAAGCAGCCAAAAGCATGCTTGGTACCTCAAATCTCAGAACATCATTATTACATTTGATGTTCTTGTGCAATAGTGCTAGTAAGCAGCTATTACTTAATCTCCTACCAGTATTACACAAAACTATACTTGCGAAATACTTCAGATAAATATGCTGTAATTATACGAAATATAAAAACATGTATAGGGCAAAATGTTTTTGTAACTCTCAGCACACATACCTGTGGGGATGTGGTTTGAGTGAACTATTTTAAAAATTGAATCCATGCTTCAGAAGTTTCTATGAATAACCTTAAAACTATGTGCTGGAAGGAGAATGGACACATGGACATATATTTTATATCTTATGCATATACACGCACGCACACACACACGCACAGTGTGATCAAAAGCTCTGTCCTGAATACAGCTACTTTGTGTCTGTTGGCAGAATCAGGCTACTGAGCTGGAATAACCAGCTTCATACAACTATTTTAGCACAGCCAACTGTAGCTACACCACTGTTGCTCCAACATCACTTCTCCTTTCACTTGCCAGTGTTTCCTTCTCTCCCACTGATGACTGTCTTTTCTACTTTGGAGAGCTGGTAGAGAGGGGTAACCAGTATCTGTATTATTACCTGTTAAAAGCAACTCAGTTCCACCATATGATCTATGATATGGTAATGCCTGGAAAGTGATTTCTGATATCCCTTGCTTACACAGAGGAAGTATTTTCAAGCTTAACTAAGAATTCTAAAGAGTAAAGCACAATCACAAAACTAAGACGTGTCTCTACAGAGACATAGGTGTCCTAGTCCAAAATTCAGATTTTCAAAATTTCTGCTGAGATTTTGCATCAGGAAGTGATGATATTAGGCAACTGCACTTAGAAAATGCTGTATCCAAGGCCTTTTGAGATTAATGAATTAAACCTTTCATGTCTAAGGAGTCTGACTCATTAAGGATCTTCACGTTAGCAGACAGGAGTTTGCACAAAGAAGATGCTGGGGACAAGAGCAAAGTGAGCAGGTCTCCCATCCTTGCTACAGCATCTGTTATAAAACCAGCGTGGTACTTGCTGCATGAGGGAACTGCAAGACAGGCCTTACCTCTATAAACTATTAGGTGGATGCCATTATCTTTACATCCCAATAAATTAACTTGTAGAATAAGTAATTAAAGCAGAGAAATTTCTTCATGTGTAAAGAATCCAGTGAACATATCACTACTGTAGGAAATTTTGGCTCAGGTCAGTTAAGTGAAAAGAGAGAGCAGAAACAGTTAATTTAGTGTTTCACGAGTCCTTTAACTACTTAGCAGTTATACAGATGGAAAAGCATGATAGCATATCCTCCTCACTTTTTCAAAAAAGGACTGATATCAGCTAAGATTTGTAAAATCCTAAATGGTAGACAGGAATTTAATTCCACCCGAAGTGGAAAAAACCCATGTCCAGGTGTTATTTATGAACTATTAACTTAAACAGAATCCTTCTTGTTATGCTGTTTTTGTGGCTCCTGTCTCCTTTCATATGTTATACAGACATTCTAGGAATCATGTTTGGAGGTTACAATCTCTACTAGTCTTTTGGGTACAGAATTCATGAGCTGTAACCAACCAATACAGAAAGATCTACTTTGTGGTGCTGCTCATGAAGATACTAGAAAGGCTGAAATCAACTGTGTATTGAAATTAAATGTGACCTAAGAATGCAGCCCCAACCCACCCTACAAAACCTCTTTGATATATACCCTTCCAAGACCCACTGCTTCTTAGAAGCATGCTCCCTGGCTCTCTTCTCCTTACACCTCTACTTGGACAGAGTGGCCAAAATATGATAATTACAGGACAACATGAACCTGAGGGGTCACTAGTTGAGGATACTCACATGCATTTATAAAAATACTTGGGCTTTGAAGACAACAGTCCCAGCAGACTTATTACACAAAAGATGGACAGCCAGACTCTTTTCACACAAGCCTACAGATGCATTATTAACATTTTTAAGTCGTGAAAACACAACCTTCACAACTCTATCTTCACAATTGTGTTTTTTAACTTTGTCTTTCTAAGCTGCATGGAAGAGACACATTTTAAAAAAATTTGTACAACTGGCATCAGAATTTTTAACATACTAAAAAGAATTGAGCCAAAGATGATATCACAAAGTCCCTTATGCTTAAGGGAAAATGTTAAATCAATTAGCAGTTGCCAGAATAAAGAAGCAACAATTTGATGTATAAGTTCTTTACAAAAATAACAAACTTTCCATGTTCTTCAGAAAGTGGTTATATTATGCAACAAGAAAACTTCACCATATTCTCAGCTCTCTAATGTTACAAAAGTTTTATTAGCATATGCTTCAGAAATTATAATCAAAGGATTGTACTCACTAGCCAGAACCTTGAAGAGTTTATAAACATAAATGTACAGACTATGCCTTAGAGGGTTAATGTACTATTCTGAACTCAAGTATTGCAAATAGGAGTTAGCTTTGACACAGAATGTTCACACCCTCTGTAATAAATTCTTTTAACATACTTCATATTTCTTCCCATGTGAATGAGTGTCCTTGGAAGAATTATCTACTAGATAAAAGCTGAAGATGAAATCTAAGTCTAGACTTATTTAAAGGGGGTAGACACTGATCTTATAATCTGTGACAGTGGCTGATTAATGAGCTGCTCATGATTGCTGCAGGCCTCTCCAAACTGCAGGAGCAAATGATATTATAGGACTGGGAGGAATGTGCTATCTGGATGCCACACCTTTGCTGAAACTGAAGAACTCACGTTGACTCCTACTACATTTATTCTAGCTTTAAACTACCATATGTACCCAACCAGATACACGGTAAGACACATGCATACCCCCACTCCCTGCCTGCTGCTTCTGTAGCAGAATTGCTGTGCTACAGAACACATGGTAAGCATGCCCACTTCTAGCAGTCATGGTATATGCTGTGTGGGGTCCACTGTTTTGCTGGCTATGCTCTTGCATAAACAAATTCAAAACTTCCTGAAGCAGAATAGTAGTATCATATCCTGAGGGATTGATTTGGTTGGCCTGACAGTCTGGCTAATTTTATTTACATGTACGCGCATACATACGCACATACACATACACATGCATGCATCAGACATGCCAGTATACACACACATATATATTATAAAGCATAATGAACACACTGTGTAAACAGAGTACATTCTGCATAACCAGAGAAACTTCTATTCAACTGTGTTCCAAGGCTGAAACAGAACATGATTTAAATCTATAATAAAAAAGGCTTATTACCTAATCTTTAGTGATAACACAGTAATTTCTGATTACATCTTTCAAACAACTTTCAGGAAAATTTTTTAACCTTTAGTAACTTTGCTTATGAAATACCAATGTTCTTAAAGTGAAAACAACCCATACAAATAAAACTGTTTCCTGCACATTCATGCCCGAGACTTAGAGGAAACAAAAGCCTCCAGGAAAAAAGGGCACACATAGAAAAAAAAGTCACTGTAATCCCACAAAGTAGACAAGAGAAATTTTATTACCTTTAGCTGAAAACAACTCTTCCTTTGGTTTATCTGCTTGCCATTTTTCTTCTTCTCAATTTTGGAGATAATTCTCTTTCTAGAAGTGTGCAGAAAAATAACATTTTAACCACATCATCATGAACTTTATCACATCTTGAGTACACAGACTGTATCAGCCTCAGTAGACAATGAAGCCCTATAACTTTTCAGCAGTGCCATTAGGTTCAAGAACAAGGCTAAAATTCCACAAATGAGACATGAAAGCACACTGAAAGCTCAATGCACACCACTCAAATGAACATTGATTTTTTTTTTAAGTACATCTTTAAAAATTATAAATAAACCCCCTCTCTAATCTCAGCAGACATCTTTTCACGGATTTTCTTGCATGAAAAAGGTGTAAGTAAAGACTATGCAGTGATAAATTAAGATTTCAACTACACTTTTCATTTTGCTATGAGTTGGGTTTGGTATGTGAAGTGACACCCGTGCCAAAACTACTTACTTTACTCCCTAAATTTCCCAAAACCAGATTCCAAGTAGCATGATATTCTGCTGTCTCCTGTGGTGATCTCTTCAACAAATATGACTATGATTAAATGCATCAAAGAGTAATGACTGAGTAAAATATGAAGCAGTTGAGAACGATCCTGATGTTTACTATTTTAAATGCAGCTGGTTAAAAGCAGTTCATTCATTGACATGAATGCTGATGCAGGATTATGACTAATTTAAGACTGACAGAATTTCAACAATAAGTGGGTATGAATGACTGCAAATGTAATAAAAAGTTTATATAGAAAACATTTCCAAAAGCACTTAACTGTATCATTACACAATATTAGAATAAATAAAACACACCTTTTTTCATTACAGGTGATCTACTCAAAAGCATTGAACTGACTAGAACCACGCAGACGATCATAAAAACTTTATCCAGAAATTTAGTAAAACTACTAAGAAGGTGAGTTACTTCAGCAATGTTGAAAATATAAACAGTTTGCTATGTTAAAGGCTAAAATTATATGTGTTATATGAATTCACACATTAATTTCTGCATGAAACTGAGAATTTCTAGCAATTCAGCAAATTGAAGTTACAAATGCTGAGAAGTTATTAGCTGATAACTAATAATGGGTAATGGACCTATCAGTGATATAACTTGTCAATATCCAATTCAGTGAAGTCAGAAGAACTCATTATCCAGTTGAGCTGTGCAGAAGCAGGAGAAAAAGCTGCTTATGTCTAGGGACCATGAAATAACCTTTCAGAAAACCAGTGGAGACCAGGGCTCACACATCCATGAGGTACTGTGGAGAACAGCACAGCTTTACCAGGAACTGAAAGAGTTGAGCCTAAGTGTTTGAAGGAGGATTCACCAGATTATGCCTTTCATAAGGAAAAGTCAGCCTTTATATGAGCATTTTTGTTACAAATAACCCTCTCAGGGAAGCAGAGTTCTAATACTACTATTAACTAGGAGCACTGCACCCACCATAACATGTCACTTAATAAATGAGATATTAAGTGATTAACACATCTTTTGCTAAAATATTGTTCCTCCAGAACTACTTCAACATCACTCCAAAGTACCTTTAAGAACTGTCCTACTTTTACTCACTTTATAATATATTCAAACTGTTCACTTCAAAGAAGGAACTCAAATTGCTATGATATGACACTGTCTTCTCCTGAGAAAAAGAATGCAGAGACCACTGACAGTAAAATTATTTTCTGAGATCAAAACTACTAGATAAAGGCATGAATCTACACAGTCATATGGTACAGTATTTAAAGTTATCAGATATTTTTAAATAGACATTCACAGAAGGTACTTAATCAGTGCTTGGTAGAAACAGAGGCAGCTCAATAAGAAGAATGTATATCAAAGTTATGCAACAGAAACCCATCAGCAAACGCTTAATATTTTTTTCCTATTAACATAATTATTTTGTAGTCAGTAAAAATGAAAATGACATGTTAGCATTTCAAAAACATGAGAAAATGACCCTCTAGGCTTCATATAACTATAAAAACAAGTACCAATACTTTATTTGCAAATTATTGTGCAAGAAATGATCAACTCAGCAAGTTTACCAGCCAACGAAGTGTGAGCTCTACCAGTTATAATCAATTTACATGTAATGATATGTCTAAATATGAATTTAAATGAGTTCTTGTCATTTCATGTTGATGAGCTGCTTTATCATCATAGATATGGACAGTGACCATAGCTAATGTTGCAGAAACAGCAAAGCATGCACAAGTTTCATGAGCCAATAGTAACCCAGCACGAATAAATTTGCTTTTGTATAAAAAGACAGCCTTGGACTGCTAAGCCATGTTTATTTTCCAGTCAAATTAACAAAAATACTTTCTATGAGGTTATATCCAGACATTTGCTGTATATGCTGCATCCACTGCAAATACACAGTATGAATCATAAGTTTTCTTACCTTGAAACCTACTGCATTTCTCTTGCAATGCATGAAAAGAACTCTGAGGCCAACACAAAATAAACAACCTTTCACCATCATTCCTGTTGTACATAAATATACATTCAAAAATTTGCAAAAGAAATATTCTGGAGATTAAGATAATTCTAGGTTCTATTACAGCACATTGGTCATATCCCCACACAACCATCTTTAATACAATCATCAAAAATTTAAAATAACTGGGGCAAATTAAATAAAGTTCCATTACAGTGCTGATCACATGATATGTTGGAAAAATGCAAGACAAAGACAGGTTAACATACAATAATGCATAATTAAAGGCTGGCCTCAAAAATATCTTCATTTAATACAATTAAATGAATATAATGGCAAGAACTTTATCAAAAGGACACCATTAAGTGCTAAAGTCAATTTCATTTTGCTTAGGATAGAGTAAGATAAACAAATCTTAACATTTTCTAAATTATAATTCTTTTCGTTTCCCCTAGCTTTATGAATAATATAGATATTCCAATAGAATACACAAATATATTTTTTACTGATATACAGAATAATCTAAATGCATATTTGGTACAATTTCTTTTTTTTGGTGTTCAGTAGTTGCTTTTGTTTTGATAAAATGATATAGCAGATTTATGCTTAACATCACAGATACATTTTGTCCATGTAAAGTATTACAGAGCTTTTTCAATTGTGGAATGGTATGTTTCATACATTTGAAATTTTAAAAATGCTGAACCTGTGACTTTGCCATTACACTGATCAACCATCAGAAACTGTAATGAGCATGAGCTGACACACATTTCTATTTTGGCTTCGTACAAGTATGGACACATTCAAAATGTTGTAACATCTGTATGATTTGCTGTTACTTTGGTGATTGTGATATTCCAGGTGCGGATGCAAAGTGCACCTTAATGGTCCTCATAGAAGTGCTTGTATCCCCCTGTATTTTAAAGGCATCAGATTCTTTTATTCTCCCTTGTAGCGAGGAGGTCTCTTCTCCTTAAATGCAAGAAGGCCTTCAATTCTATCTTTTGTTGGGATAGTCTGCAATAAGCAGAGTAACAATTCATTACTGACACCAAAACAATACCAAGAAAAGTCTTTTCATACAAATCCTAGTTCTTCAATGCATCCAAGATGCATCAGAAAAACTGTAATACAACAGAAAAATTACAACTATATAGTCAGATATAGAAATGTATTAGACACTTCAAGGGCACGACAAAAGGCTGATGAACAATTTGGGTGGAGAAGGAGTAACTTTGCTCCAAACACAAGAGTTTAAAAAATTCTGTAGGGTTTGAGGTTTGTTGTGGTATTTGGTTTTTTTTTTGGGGTGTGGGGGGAGAGGGGAAGGTGGGGTTTGGGTTTCTTGAGGGTTTTTTGGTTGGGTTAATTTTGGGTTTTTGGGAGGGGGAAGAAGGTTAATAATCTGATTACCACATCTTAAGGATGTAACACTGATGTTTCTATTTCCATCATAAAAATCTTGTCTCAAAAGTCCAAGAACACAATCTCAAATACATCATTCCCATGTTTTACTGGCAAAGAGGTTTGTCTCAAATTTTTATTGGTCAGCACATATGCCATTAGTGCACGTGTTACTGAAGTGTCCTTTGTTTTCTTTCATGTTAAACCAAAACCAAGCTAAAGCAAGGCAGTCCTTGGACTGGCATGGTACTGTATGACTGGCTAGACGTATGGCTGGTACTGCTTCACTACCTTCACCCTTACAGTACTGGTACCGATGTGTCCTGAATGTCTCCCTTAAATTCCTTACAAAATCAGACCAAGTAGATGAAAGTTTAAATAAAATGCTTAAAAATTTGCAGAAGAAATCACAGAGCAATTTCTAGTTAAATTTCTGCATGTTTCGTAACAGGCATCAACAAAGCCTGTTTTCTGTGATTTCTTCATGTAATTATATTTACATACCTGAGCATAACAAGCTTCTTCAATTGCTAAACCTGTTACTAAGTCGACCTGAGGAAAAGAATACAATGGTTTTTACAAGAATTATTTATTATGTATTATTATAATATGTAAATTACAGCTCATAGCTAACATAAATATAGTGGTTTTATATGCCACATATTAAAATACTTCTGCAAAGTTCTTCTACACTGCTTTAACACAGAAATGCTACACTGACATGTGGTAGGAGTGGTTAGTATTTCTGCAACAGACTCCTTATTTAGCCATACAACTAGCATGCACTACACTCAAAACATGTCTGCTCTTCACTACGAGTCATCTGGCAAGGTAAAAACCATTAGCTACCTGCACATTTATAATAATTTCATTTATTACAGAGGAAAAGATGCACTGTATGATTATGTAAAATCTTTTCTGAAACAATGTATCTTCAAAATGTCATATAAGAATAGGATAGCATGCCACAAAACAAGCACAAATTTAAGTTCAAAAGGATTTAAAACAGAAAAATAAAGAGAACTATGTCTGTCCTGCATCACTATCATAATCTATTTTTAATATATTTAGTTTCTTCGTCAGCTGTCCTGATCAGCTGAAAAGGCTGAATTTTGGCCTCACTATTTCTCCATCTGTATTAAGCACCAGATGCTACAAAATTCACTAGCTCTCTACTTGACCACTGCAAGGACTATGGCTATGCACCACAAGCAGTTTTCAAGGGAAGGTAAGTTATAGCGTAAGTTATCAAAGGAAGCCATGAAATCTGTGCCATGGTAGTTTTGTAACATTTGGCTTGATTGGTTTTGATGCAGTAGATCTTGTCTTGGGCCTCAAGACTGAACTAGAGATGATCATTCAGAGTCCATCTAACCCTACTATCATCTCTAATTCTCTAACCACCATTATTTTGACCTTTCAATCCACTATATCTGGTAGTTAGATAACTTAGCTTGTAGCATTTTGAACCTTGGGTATCGAAATAAATCTCAAATTCCACCATTACTTGTTGTGGAAACCTAACATACTCTGGCAATGGCATCTGAGTTTGATTCTCAGGCCACCACTTACTGGTGTTACGCTTTGCTGAGCTCACTGGTTGCTTTTATGACTTTTAAGAAAAAAGGACAAATTTATCTTCTTGGATTCAGACGCTGCATGTGGCATGATCCTCCTTCTCTTGTACCAGATTGAGCTACCAGGTGTCTTGGTGCAGAGCCTAACTTTAAAAATGAACAGACCTGCTGAACTCAGCATTAGGATATGTACACATGTCCAGATGGGATTTTTAATGAGCTTTAGAGATAGGTCAATAGTGTGGCAATGGAGTGGCAATCAGAATCAAACATGAAATCAGGTTCCAGGTCCAGTTTTAACACCGCTATTAAGCTATTAAAAAAATATCATGCCCTTCAGCCTTTAACTTTATCAGTTACTAAACACTGAGAGCTTGACAGACTTAACAGAGTATGACTTTGATCATTTTTCCCACCTAAGATTTGAAACACAATTTGTTCATAGTAGTTTATGTTTACTTTCTACATTAATAATTAGCAGAGTACACTACTCTTGAGGTTATTAAGCCTTATTACAGAAATCAGCATCTCAGGAGTCTGAGATTTAAAAAATTATATTTCATTCTTTACAAAGTTTTGACCAAACAGACTTTGAAAGACTACACAATGATAAAATAAAAACAGTTACATAAAAAGAATTTCACAGCAGTACAACTGTGGCCAACCTGACTTACAGCCTACTCCCATGGAAAGTATAGATCCTTACCTCCATTCCCTGATTGATAGCCAGTTTTGCAACTCTCATTGCTACTGGTCCCTAAAATGAGAGAAAAAGTTTATTTACATGTCATCAAAGCCTGCAAGACTTATAACTGAAGAGTCTGCACAATTAACCATCAAGACTTTAGACTTCTGTTAAATTTACTGTATATAAGTCATATATCATAGATTTTATCATTACAGTAGACACTTGCTTCTAAACTGATAATTTGAATATTAAGGAAAAGTAATAGTATACTATTTTCAAAAGAACCTAATTATTGTGCTTGGGTTATGTTTCAAAGGTGCTGAGTATATCCACATTTGTCAAGCTTTACCAATTTCCTTCAAAACAAGGCTCAGAATGGCCACTTTAAGGTACATCATTATAGGTCTTTGCAAGGTCAGTCCTATATCCCTACCACTGCGCAATGGAGACATGTGAAAACATGTCATCATGAAATAAAATTAACTGATGCAAGCTTCAAACCTGCAGTATGCTACTGCAAAGCCTGCTCTGGTCAAGTGATGACACTCTTCCATGAGTGGCTGAGATCCCCAGTAAGCAGGGGGATTCCCACACTCGCCTCCAATGTGCTGCAGAGCTGCAAGCAAGACATCTTTGGGAATCATCTCAGTCCTGTGCCTATCCATCAGCATCAGCTGCTGGATATTCAGGACTGCTGATTTGGGAAAAGCCAAATGCTTATGAGACAGTACTAATAAGAAGTTGTAACCATCAATCAGCTTTCTAGAACCACTGTATGTTAAATTTTTTCTATACTCTTGTCTTTCAATCAAGGTACTCAAGACACAAATAACCACCAATAAATGCCATACCTAAGCTATAATATTTTACATTTCCAATGAAAACTTTTAGCTGTTACGCTTGTGATCCAATAAAGTGGTTTACTAATTATTTTCTTTTTCTGCCTCCTATGAATTTTCTACTTTGGACCTTTTCCTTCCTTTTAGGCCTCCCTTCTGAGGAGTTCCACAGCAAAAAAGTAATCTATTAAAATAATTGCTATATTAAAAAAATAAAACCTGCATGATTTTTTTTCTTGTTCAAAAGTTGAAAGCCAGAACACATAATGCAAACAAAGACCAGATCATGGCAAGATGAGGACTGATGGAGGTTTTCTTCCGTCACTATGAAATAATCACCAAATAACACCATTCAATACAATAGAGAAAACTTTTAATTACTTGCTACATAATTAGCACAGCTTTTTTTTTACATAATGTTGACAGTTTCTTTAATAAACCTGTTTCTTTTTCAGTGTTATTATTTGGTAAAAACTAAAAACCAAAATCAATGTAATTTGTTATACCTGAGGTAAGAATTCTCTCGCCAGAGCTAATGCTCTTCTGTATGCAGCATCCCCTGCTTCATTCTGTTCTACCACATGGCTGATCAATCCTATTGATTTTGCTTCCTCACCATCTACAACGCGTGCAGAGAAGATTAGTTCTTTTGCCAATGACACTCCAATTGTGCGAGGTAATCTTTGTGTCCCCCCTAGAGTTTGTAAAAAGACAAAACGCAACTATTACTTTCCCAGGTATCTGTACCACAAATGTAGATGCCTCAGTCATTTTAAGTGTTTTCATTTTAAATTCCATGAACAATTACAAAGACATACAGAAATTCAACTAGTACAAAAACATTATTAAGTACCTTCTTCAGTTTTTCAGACTGCATCTAAATTGAAATCAATTGCCCTGTTTCTTAGAAAGACATGTAAATAACTGAAAATAGGTACTATTAACAGAGATTCTGTTTTATTACAGACAAGTTACCTTACTTGTATCAGCCAAAAGCTGAACAAAAACTACTTGACAGCAATTAACATATCCAAACCCTCTCTCTTTTTAATGCTACATATTTTTATGATATAAATCACCACTTCCAAAGAACTATACTACAAAATAAAATATACCTTATAAGTCTCTTCTAAAATTTGCACCTTAGGGACAATATATTTACATGTAAACTAAACCAAAAGCGCTACTAGACCTCATCTTACTCCCATATAATTGTTGCAGCCTTAAAGTGCAATTACAAAAAGCTAGGGAAGAAAAATGACAGGTGCAGATCAGTAGAGAAAAGTGTCTAACTTTATAACAGTTAGCATTTGTTAGCACTTTAAAAACTTCTTTGAGTTATCAGCATTTTCAGAAGGTCAATAAGCAGCAATTACATTAACTAGAAATTAAGACTGCTTAGCTGGACTAACAATTAACTTTTGAGAACTAACAAACAATGAGAATGTGGGAATAATCATTATCAAAATGGAAGATGTAGATTCAAATCACTGAAGCACATGTTTATGAATTAAGACAGCAAAAATGGCCTTTATCCAGGAAAAATAATTTTGAAAATCACAAGGTCTACCATTTTGTCATGAATCTGAAACAAATTCTCAATTTATACAAAGAGTCTGTAAGTAAAAATTTTTTTCTGAATAGTTACTTCTGCAAGAGCATGCTAATATATTTAAATGTAAATATATGTATATATGCAAGAGGAATACATATAGGAGCTGTTCAAAGCCCTGTGGTTTAACAGTGTGCAAATGTGTGTTCAACTAACAAAATATTTTAATTTCTACTACATATTGTGGACTAAGCCACCAGTATTTTAGTCAGCCATTCAGTTCTCTTACTGATGTTTCCTGAAAATACTTTCAATACATTATGAGATAAATAAACTGTCTGAAAACAAACTAAAAGTCTTTGTGATTTAATGATTCAGCTTTCAACTACTATTTTTCTGAACCACAAGCTTTAGACTACTGTATTCTTTCCTATAAAATCAGATCTGCCTTTGAACACCTTACAAAATACAAAACTATAGATAGTTTGGAGAATTTCTGCCTTATGCCTTTCAAGAACAGTAGAAGATGATCGGCTATAACAAAAACTGAGCTACATTTTCAAGGCAAAAACTGGAGGAATAAAAAAAAATTATTATAACAACTACAATAAAATTTGTAGAACAAAAGCATTAGTAAATACAAATAATGTGATATTGTCTATGATCTTGCAGTGCTTGAGAGGACTTTAGCAAGTCAGTCCTAATGGTCAAGGGCAACAGATATTCAATAAATTCTGCTAATTCTGCTAATTTCTAAAGCTAAGCCAGTGATAGTGCTAGGGTAAAATTTTGCTACCAGCACAATTTAGAGACATTTTTTAAGAAAGGGGCAAGGGATGCACATACATGAAAGTAACCCCACACTGGATCCCAAAAAACACTACAAGCCCTGAAGCGTAAGCCTTCCCTTCATCTTGGCTTGCCTCACTGGTGACATTCATAGAGAATGACTACGCTGTATCTACCAAATTTATACCAGACCTACATGCCAGAAAAATGTGAGCTGTGTTTTCAGGAAACTCACTGCTTGTGATATTGAGCTGTTCCACCACCACCATCCCCACCAAACATTTATTTGGTTTACTATTTAAACATTGAACGTCTTTTAATTTTTCACCCAAATAAGCCACCACACTAATCAACATCTATTCTTATACACATTTTAAGCACACATTGGAACATAGCAAATGTCTAGCTTATTCTCCTTAAGAATATTTTAGTCACAAGTTATTCCTTTCATGGCAGTCATGGAATCTAGAAAAGCATTCAGTTTGGCTTTTGATTAAAGAAAACTATTTGTCCAAATCATAAAACCTGAAACCATATGAGGCTGTATTTACTGACTCTGTATCTTCTGCTTCTTTCTTGTACATATTCCCAGTATTTTTCTTTGCTTAATTATCTGCCCCTTCCGTTACTGTTTTATCTCTTCTATTACTGCTTTACCAGGAAATGCTGAAAACAAAGTTTCATTGAGCAACAATATTTCATAACTTTGACCAAACAATGGATATGTTGAAGCATGAAAGAGTGTTTATAGATTAAAAAAACTGTTCTTGCCAGTGTCTTACACAATAATGATTAAAGAGCAAAAAAAAAAGCAGACTATAGTTGTTTGGCTGCCTCCTACACTGAAAAGCCATTAAGCAGAGGAGCATACTCTTTGATTAATATTTACAGAACAGAAGCCAACAGTTCACTGCATCAATCATATATATTCAGTAGTAGGGGTAACAAACTTGCGCACACAAAAGCTACAAGACCAAATTAATCAAATGCAAACAGCACACTAAAATACATCCAACACATTGAAGTTGCATCCATTTATGAAGAAAAGATGGAATATGCCACAGATAGATGTTCTGTTTTGGTAATATGCAAAGAACACATAGTGTCTGCCAACTATAATCAGAGCTAAAGGAAGTAACACCCAGTCTTTAAAGACGTTACTTAACCAAGACATTTCATCTAAATGTAGTGCAGAATTTGATGGGAGAATAGTTGTTTCATCTTCACAAATTTAATGACATGTTATTTCAAGGACTAGTGATCTGGTATTACTCACTGTGCTGATAAAAGTATTTAACATACAGTTGCAATGTAAATGTGCTCTTACCTGAAATAGCATAGAGTCAATGTTGTAATCATTGCAAATAGCATTTTTAGATACATTATTTAATATTTAAAGTTTTTTTTTACTGTGAAAAGACACAGTAAACATAAAAATGCTAATTTCTGGTACAAAAAACTATTAAACAGTATTTTTAAAAATTTAATAAATAGTAGATTTTGTATGAATATTTATTTACTGTGAGTAATTCATCATTTACAAAATATGTACACAACTGGTTTGAATTAAGGGAATTACGTGATAAATGCCCAAGAGTATATCCAACAAGATGAAGCAACCAGCTTACTGGAAATAGATTCATCATTCTGGCAGAGAATATCTACAGTCAGTAGTTTCTCATAGCTGACGGCACTGTCAAAACATATTGGAAAAAATCATGTTCTGACAAAAAAAAAAAAAAAAAAATGTTATTCAGTAATAATCCTGTTTACTAAATCAAATAAAAATCAGTCATCCTATCCTATCCTATCCTATCCTACCCTACCCTACCCTATCCTTTGATTCACAGCAGATGAATTTGACTGACAGGTTTCCAGCTTTCTTCTTTTAAAGAGTACTGTGTATATCTTATATTTTATTAATAATCAGTGGTGAAACCAAAACCAGTCATCCACAGACCTTCTAATTAGAAGTAAAATGTATCCTTGTGGTTTTTTTGCAGAAAACTCTAAGTAGATTTTTCACTCTTTCATTGAAATTCATAAAAATATGGAAAGCAGAAAGCTACTGTTTATAATAGTGAATCCTCAACAATGTAAGTTCACAAAAAAAACTAATATGGATAAAATTATTATTTTAGTATAACACTTTTCATTCTGTCCTATTTAAAAGTCTCTGTAACAAACATAGCTTCCAGTGTTAAAGTTCCTACCATCTGTTGCTAAGTTAAGAAGTTTTCAAAATACAAAACATGCTAAAGTTCTAAATACTGTACCTAGATAACATTTAACGCCAATTTTCCAACAGACTATTTCCAAGATTAGGCCTCAGTCTTGAGAAGTCGTATATGTTTTAGTTAATTTAAATCCAGGTATAAATCTTTATGGGCTCAGGCATCCCCAGTTTTCTCGCAGAAGAATGAAGAACATGAAGAACATGAAGAGCCCTTCTCCAGCACAAACCAGAGAACCAACTAACTACCAAAACCAGCTTAGGCTGGGAAAGACACCCATAAAGATGCAAAAAGATGACAGGATGAAAACGTGCTGGAGAAGTGATGGAGAAGAAAAGAAACAAAACACTATTTATGTAAGAGGAAAAAAAGCACTGAGATGACAAAGAACAGGCGGTAGGTAAGGCCACTCATACATATGGCCACACAAGTCGTTGTTTGGAAAAAGACTGGAGATCTGAGGAAACACTGAGGCAGTGGCCTGAGGCTGACTCAGAAGTTGCTCCAGGGTTTGTAATGACTGAGGAAAGAAGTTTTTTAGCAAAATTTCATAGTAGGTTGCCCAAAGGGTTCACACAAATCTGGCATGTCAGCCAAGCCAAAGAAAGCTCCACAGACATGCCAGACACAATCTCCCTAGCTGAGGTCCAAGAGGCAGGACAACTTGCTGTCTATGCCAGCCTGGCTGTGGCAAACCCCATCTCCAAAACAGCCCACTTAATTTGCAAATCAGTCCTTAACTTTCACAACACATCCTATTCATGTGCATCTGCAGATTGGTTTATTTAAAAACCTATCTAAAAAATACCTATACCAAACTGCCATGCGTGGGTGGCTTGAAGATGACAACTTAAATCAGAAGAATGCAGTACTTGGCTTGAAGATGTATGAATGCTTAAGATGCATGAGAGGAAGTGTAAATAAACTTTAAGAATTCACTAGCAGTTAAATAATTACAGCTTTTGTACTGAAAGATGAAATGGTCATGTAAATTAGAAAAGGTAATTTATTTTCAAAATAAGTAATTGTCTTGTAGATTGAGAAAATAGAAGATGGTTTCCTAGCAGATGGCTGCGTATGTGAAATGGATGGAACCAAAGAAATGCATCTGGAACCCAAAGTTTATAAATGGACTCCACTTCAAAAGGGATTCTGCACCTGGCGTAAGGACTCACTACACATTTCACTCACAAACATGGTACAAACAACTCCACTGTCAGACAAAACACAGTTTGAGAAGCACAAATCTGTGTTATTCCCCATGGACACCCAGTACTTGCAACTCCAGGCAAAGCTAATGCACATGCTGACAATATTGTTTGTTTTTAAACTGCAATTATTTGAGTAAAAAAACAACCCCAGAAATGCCAAAGACTGTTCATCTACTTATTAACCTCTACCTTAGTGTACACAAGTGCAACAAGCATGAGCACACAGAGATACTCAGTAAGACCATGTGCCTTCCTGTTACTCCATATAGGAGCTTGGTATTTTGTTTGATGATGCAATCAGTCACCTTAAACAAAATTCAGAAGTAGATACACATTAAAACATAAGTCTTCTTGCTGCAGATAGATATTAATGGCCCACAAGAAGGCATTTTCCAGTTTCAAAATAACACCCACGGATTTACGAAGTCATTACTCAGCTGTAACAACAGGTAGGAGGTTTAGACCAGTGCTGCATTGTATGATCCTACTTCATAAATCATGAGGGGTTTATGTGTTATAAACTTTTATTTAACTTGTATTTTAAACAAATAATTTTACTAGTCCATATTCTTATACTTTTCAATTGACTATGACACTAAACTTATTTAATATGAAAATCAAGACAAGAAAGAAACAGACATGCGAAAAACTTTTATTTCTACCTACAATAAGTGAAAGAGAAAAATTAATTATCATGGTAGTATCCTATTTTATTTATATTTTTAATGAGATCACAGTCTGAAATTGGGTCAATTACTATAGTTTTCAGTGGATGGAACTGAAATGAATAAACAATAAGCAAAGCAAAAGACAGACTAACAAATCTGAAGTCTTCACTGCTTAAAAGCAAGTGATTTGAATGTCTTCCTCACTTGAGTGCTCTTCTTACAGAAATAGAAATCTGCTAACCCCCCCAACCAATTCCTATTCCTTAACTCTATTCTTTCTTCCATCCTGACTACTATCAATTGAATCTGCTTTCAACTCTTCCGGAGTAATGGGTTTTTAAGAATTGATGTCTGAAATTATTCATCCCTGAAATTCTCTGACTTGAGCAGCCCTAAAGAAAGGACAGCAAAGTCAATGAGACAGCAGGAGGACACAATCTCACCTGGTTCAGCTACCAAATCCCAAGAAGGCAGAGCACTCTCTCTGCTGATAAATATATGCCAAATTAAGTTGTACATACAAAGCACATTTTTAATCTTAAGTAAAATGTACTCTCAGCAGAGGAAGCATACACTGCAGCTAACCTAGTACTTAGGCTATAACATAATATCTACAACAATTTGGGGGTGGCTTTGAAAACACAGATTCTACAAAAAAAATTGGCCAAATCCTTCAATACTGGCATGCATTAATATAGCAATATGCAATCCAAAAAGGAAGCTCTTCCATAAATTGGAACATGAGATACATTAGTATCAACATTTCAGTTTAAAGCCAGTTACTGTGCAACAGTGGACCTAGTCCAATAAGCACAAACTGGTATTTTAACACTTTATTGTCTGGAACTACTCAAACATTTTTCCTTAACTTCAGCTCTTCCATCACCTTCTTCATATGTTTTAATTCTTCGAAAAAAAACCCAGAAATCAATATGTGAGAGGAAATCAACAAAGAGACTAAATAAGCAATTATTCCCAGTCACCACCTGTTAGATAGTTACAACACTACAGGAATGAAATACATTAAGAAAATACCTTTTGTCTTCCTCTTGCCTGATGCTGTGACATAGCAATACAGGACAGAAGTCTCTGTTTTTAGCATGCAATGCAACACGTATTGTATGCAATGGTAAGTCTTTCCCCCATGGATGAAGAAACTAGAGCTAATTATATTCTTCAGTCACATTATCAAGTGCATGAGTTGGATTTAGTGGACCTTTATGGTTTTAAGGATCAAGAAATTAGATAATAATTTTGTTTTCCTTACATCCTACATCCAAATTCCAGGAAGAAAGACATTAGGGGCTATATAGGCATGAGGTAATGAAGAAATGAACCCATATCAACAGCAAGAGTTAGAAGAGCTGCCCTGCATCTGTGGAGCCCTGCACTGCACTTATTAAAAAACTCAAAAATATATTTTAATTAACGTAAGTCATTAGGACTTGTTTGTATAAAAAACAATAAGGTTCAACAAGATTGGGAACACCACTCATTTCTGACTGTCTGGCTTCATCCTGCTCTTCAGGCAGGACTGTTCTGAAGTGAACAGAGGCCACTGCTGAACATTTTGTGCTTCTACTTGTGGCTACAGCCCAGCTGCTGGCTCCTAGTGTCTGGATCTCTCAGGGCACTCCTACATGCAGATCCTTTGACCTTCCTCTGGCAGCAATCTATCTGCTTGACTAAAGATTCAGGGCTAAAGCTCTCCCAAATCCTTAGCAGGTTAGGAACATTTTACTGGGGCCTGGAGACATCAAAAGCTCTATTACTACCTAAGTCCTTCAGAGAACACATGGCATTTGAGCAAGAAACAAAAATTTTAAAAAGTCTTTAAACAAAAGACACTTTTCTCTTGAAATCTGAAGAGAATTGTGGAATCTTTAAGGAAAAAAAATATTAAATCACAAGTCTTGTAAGAGTCCATTAGCCTGCACGGCCAGAAATTTGATGAGCAAGCATGAACCTACATCACCTTGGCCTCAGTCTCTTTTCTCTTTCTTTCCCAGATAAAATAGTATTCTTTAAAAGACTTACTATTTTTGTTTCATTTTGTGCCTGCAATGTGTTTCACCCTAGTTACTGCCAGCCTTCTTCCCTATCCAGACTCACTTGTAACATTTATTATTCTTGGAAATAGACCACTGAAACAGCTCAGAAATTGAAAAATTTATCACACCTCCATTTTTAATCCTAGTCAAACAGGGTTGTATCTTACCATCCATGTGTAATTGAAGGTCACACAGAGAGGTACAGGTGTTCTGTGGAGCTATCTGGTGAAATACCAGAAGTAAGATAAGCTTGCAATGAGTAAGAATGGCCATTATGCCTTTTTATGTTACATAACATAAATATGATTTTGAGACAATCTACCTTGCTTTCTCAAGCTCTCTCATCTGTTTCCTTGTCATACATCTCTATTTCTTTAGATGCTTTTAAGATTCTAAAAAACATTTCTGGTGAAGCAAAAAAAAAAAATCTGAAACAAAACATCAGAGTTTTACAACTTGTTTTCGGTTGATAATTAAGTGCAGGCATTGAACTGAACCCTCTGAATATTAATAGTCCTACCTACATCTGAAAAAAACTTATTAAAGTGAATTTATCCCTCCTTTCTAACCTGTTGCTTGTACTCAAGCCACATACTAATTCATACCAGTGAGACTTGTGTGAAAGAAAACCGTGGTTGTTTGGACAGACAAAAATAAAATATAATTAATAAAAATGAGACCATTAATGTGACAGTGATCTTGCACTGTACTCACACCGAATGTGTGGAGTATCCTTGAACAGAAGCAATTTTAATTGTTTTGCATGGATAATTCCCCAACCCTGGTAATAAGTACAACTTCTCCTTATTGGTTCATAACAGAACAGAAGGATAGGTGCAGCTGTGAGCTCAGGCTGCTAGGTTTGAATCCCACAATCTCACCCTCCTTTGACTAAACACAGTCATGATCCCCTACAATACCCTGGCTTAGGTCCCTAAATATGAGAGCAGTGGTGTTTTCTTGCAAATATGCTGAATGGGAAAGAAACAACTACTTCCCCTTCAAAAATTAAGAAATGTTTTCTGTAAATATAAACTACATACAGCTGATCTCAATACACACAGAATGGAAGGTAGGGTCCTGGGAGAAAGACATTTTTAAAGGAAAATCACTGGGAAATTGAGGGTAGGGAGTAAGTCTGAAATTGCAGGGAGTTAGAACAGATGACTGTAACTGGAAGAAAAATGTTCAGTGATCCAGTACAGAGCTTCTAAATGTCTCCTTTTGTGCAATATCATAATTCAATTTCCTAGAAAATGGGCAAATAAGGGCTTCCTTTAGCTTGGAAGTTTTCTAGAAAGGTCTAGAAAAAATTCTTAGGACCATCCAAATTCCCTCTGGCCAATAAATATGTTTTATCATTCTGCATAGTCAAGGAAGCCAAGAAGCTATGAGGACCACATAAGGCCCAAGACAAGGGGAGAATTTCACTCTATCCATAATGAACTAAGAAACTCCTTCTGTCAGGTATTCTTCATATTAGCATATTGAACTAAAAGGTCAAAATTAAACTTTCTTCATCCTTTTTAGTTTAGATAAATCAAGTTTCAATGTACTTATTCATATTTCTTGATACTCAGATGCAAAATAATGTCAAAATATGCACCGGGGTAGGCTTCTGAGAGACTGAATTCTTAAAACACTCATGTCTCTGTCAAGTACATTGCACTCTGTTCCAGTTTTCTTTACAGTTTCACAAAACTGCCAGAGCAAGAATAATCTTAGAATTATTAAAGAGAAAACTTAGATTAATTCAGTTATCTGATTAACACTGTCTTTCCAGATCTCAATTTCTTATTATAATATAAATAATATTAATATAGAGTTGTTAGCAAAAAATTACAAAGGATTAACAGCTTTTGTTTTCATGATGAAAAATGGAGGTAAAGAAGAAAGGACAGGAATCCACTATTTCTGGAATTCAGAGATTTGCAATAGTTGGCTCAAACAAATCTCTAGAGCCAGAAAGGTTCTGTGAAATAATTAAGGAAACAGTACTCCATAAATCATTTTGTTCAGCTTGTTTTATGGTGAACTAACTTGTGCAGCTGTTCTTCTGAGGCAGACTACACAACTGCCATTTCATTTGTTGAATTTGCTGTATGCTGAAGAAAAATGCCAGACATAAGAGTGAATTCATTAGGAGTTTGGAAATTATTTTTCTTTCTCATATAATACAGTCATAAATGAATATGAAATAGAAATAATTAGATTCTGTGCTCTTATTCAGTAATGAAAGATCTCCAAATAAGTAAACTACTCAATTAAAACAGAGCTACACAATTCATACTGATATAAAAGATTTATTTTTAATTTCCTTCAAATTTAACATTGACTATAAGGAGACCAAATTTAGTGCTTTGTC